TTGAAGCAACCATCTCAGACCTCCTTATTCATAGGAGTTCTCATAATGGAATGAAAGAACAAAGAGCTTGATAGCCATTCCTCCCAAGGTGAGCGGGGGGGGGGTGACATTGGCTTATTCTATGGTCTTAACCCCTTCATGCATTAATTAGACTTAAGCATGTTGGTTATAAGTGGCTAGTTATCCCAAATCATGCTCTGGAGCAAGGTTTTCCAGCATTATGTGGAGAGAGAGAGAGAGAGAGAGAGAGAGAGAGAGAGAGATACGAATAGATATCTACCTCTCCCTTTCTCGTAATTCAAAAGGCATTTAGTCAGTCTGTCAGTCAGTCAGTTAGTTGGAGACGCTTTTTTGAAAACATCTCAAGGTGGTTTTCAATAAAAGCCATTCCAGTAAAACAGCCTGAGTATACACCATACACTGGAAGCCCAATTAAGGTGCATGGCTTCCTCCCAAAATAATCCTGGGCACTGTAGTTATGGGTGCTGGGAATTGGGAACCTCAGTGAGGGATAATACATGCTTTAAATATACTTCAAACGCATAGTGTGTATGCAGCCTCAGTCAGCACAGATGTTAGAACAAATGGCCAACAGACAGCAAACGATTCAGTATACAGGCAAGTTTTTAGCACGCAGTGAACTGTTGGCACTCACCTTATTTCTGAGGGGAGGTTGAAAGATAAAGGGACTCCAGACCATTAGGTCCAGTCGTGACCGACTCTGGGGTTGTGGCGCTCATCTCGCTTTATTGGCCAAGGGAACTGGCGTACAGCTTCTGGGTCATGTGGCCAGCATGACTAAGCCGCTTCTGGCGAACAAGAGCAGCACACGGAAACGCCGTTTACCTTCCCGCTGGAGCGGTACTTTGACGTGCTTTATAACTGCTAGGTTGGCAGGAGCTGAGACCGAGCAACGGGAGCTCACCCCGTCATGGGGATTCGAACCGCCGACTGTCTGATCGGGAAGCCCTAGGCTCTGTGGTTTAACCCACAGCACCACCCACATCCCTTTGCTGCAAAATGAACTTTTGCAGAGTGTGGCAGAGTCAGGAGTGCTTCAACTGATGACTTTAATCAGTGCAATTTTTCTAGAAAAAGAGGTGCTGGAGCTCACCATGAACACCTCCTTCACTCTCTTAGAATGGCAATGGCGCCCACTGGAGGTGCCAGAACTGAGTTCCAGTGAGTTCCGGCTGTAAAAAAGCCCTGACTTTAATGAATGGACAGGTTCTATGTGGCAGAAGGTTAGGGTTCCTTCACATAAGCTAGTCCCAAGTTGTTAAGGGCTTTATACGTTAATACCAAAAGCTTAAACATGGCCTGGTAGCAAACTGGTAGGCAGTGCAGTTCTTTTAATAATGGTGTTATTGTTGGCATGTGTATAGATGGTACAAGAGAATGCATTTGTTAGAAATTATCCTTCCTTCCCCATGTTTGTGAATTGAGCAGAGTCCAACCCTTTGCAGCTTAAAAGGGAAGCTTAGATAGGCTAGTTTTAGCCTTTTAGTTTAAGTAATCCAGGATGCTTTAAGGCAGATGATTATCCTGGTATTTCTCCCCCCTTAAAGCAGTCATCACACAGCCTTTTCAAAGGTAAAAATAGCATTTACTCACTCAGAATACTTGTTGAAGAGTAATCGATAACAGCAGCTTTGTACAGGCAGGCTTAAAATGGTAATCCAGTTACAAAGACATGCTTTAGTCTAATTTAAAATGGTGTCTGAGCTGTAGAGCTCAGACATGCAGGTGTTCTACATTACTGCAATGAGGTCAAAGAGGAAAGAGCCTAACCAGGTGAGATTATATATGGCTACATACTCCCCCTATCAGAGCACAGTGGCAATGGCTCTCAGAGGTCTCTCTAGCAAGCAAACTTAGAGGGAAACTCTTTGAGCTTCTGCTCCTATCATGTGCCTATCTAGCAAACATGCATTGCTGGTTTGACTGTATTGCCAATATTCCACAGTTACATGGCCAGCCACTGCCTTTAGCAACCCTGCCCTTATTCTGCACTAGCTGCAGCTTCCAGAAAAAAAACCACATTGTCATGGCAAGGCTATGAATGAGAAGAGCCAATGGCATGTTTGAAATTCTACCTAGTGGTAAGAGAGACAGGAGAGAATTTTCCCAGCACAGATCCATTTGAACTACATCACTGATTGCACATTACTTTCAAATGCAGGGCTCTGCTTAGATAGTTGGCAGCTCCTTGACAATTATTTGCGATTCATATTGCAATTCTTCTCAAGCACTTGTCTGGATAATCACGTACGGCGACAGGCGTCTAAGTAAACATTTGTACCTAGTAGTTCTCAAGTAGCTTTTCAAAAACACACCACAATACATTCACACAGAAATCTATTTTATTTGAATTTACACACACCAGCAAAGTTTGTCTTTCACTGAATTGCTCTTATGGGTTACAGTGCATTTTAAAAACAGAAGCCCCTGAGTTATGTACTCACATTTCATCTTATTTTCCCTTATTTTAATGGTATGCTTCCCATTTGGGGCTTTTGCTTCTCTTTGATCCCTCAGCAGCTTTTGATATCATCCATCACAGCATTGCTGGACCAGCTGTGAATAAGCCTGGATACTGAGATCCAGTACCAAGGACCTTCTGGCCGTTCCCTCACCACGAGAAGTGAGGTTACAGGGAACCAGAGAGGGGGCCTTCTCAGTAGTAGCACCCACTCTGTGGAGCACTGTCCCATCAGATGTCAAGGAGATGAGTAACTGTATAACCTTTAGAAGACATCTGAAGGCAGCCCTGTATAGGGAAGCTTTTTCATGTGTAATGTTTTGTTATGTTTTTATATATGTTGGAAGCCACTCATAAGTAAGCCTCACTGTGTTGAGTGGGACTCATTCCCATTCACGGGAAAACACCCGTTGTCCAGGCTTAAACTGGAGACATCCAAAGAAGGGGAGTCCATAGTCCCTCTTTCCAACCTAGAAGTGGTGATGAGAACCATAGGGCACATACTTCCAAGGAGCAGAGGAATAGTTTGAAAAAAGAACATAAACAACACAGTGGTTGCAACTGAATCTCAGCCATGGAAACTTTCAAAGGAAGAAGAAGAATTCAGTCACACAGGAGTGCAAGGAATATCTGGGGATCTGTGTAGAGATTGTTATCGAGATGTGGGTAGTTTTAATTTTGAGATGGAATCCATACTGATTGTTTGTGTCTCCACAGGCGCTAGTAAATGAAATGCTGGGGAGTGCTAATAAAATACAATGGCTCTAATGAGAAAATTAAATTGGTCATTACGGAGAATAAGGTAGCAGAAAAAAGGAGAAAAAAATTGTCAGAGATTAAAGTTAGGTAAGTTTCATCTCTCACAGATAAACAAAGTTAAGTACCACCAAGTGAGTATAGATGCTCTGTAATTCAGAGCAAGGGGGAAATGGAAGTAAGAAATTATTGCTGAGATACTCACAAAGTGTCACAAATACATATAGGACTAACAACTGAAAATGCCCTGGAGAGGAAAATGAGATGACTGCTGGAATCCAGCAAATCACATTTAATTTACTTGGTTATTGCATTTGTGCATACCACCAAATTTAATAGTTCACAGAAGGGGCCAAAATGACGATGTGTTTGTCCAAGCATGCATCACATCAAAATACTCTCCCATCAGTTTTATAATGTACCCAATTTATTTATTTGGTGTACAATGTGTGGGGTGTGCGTGTTCTGAAATAAGTACACAGGTATGGCCACCATTTTGGAAAGACAACTGGCAGGGGGTAAGATATTTGCTATTTGCTGTGCTTCAGACCACAATTTGGAGAGCCTGAACAGATGAACATATTCTGATCTGGATGAAGTTAACAGATTCAAACCCTCCTGTGTATATTCTGAGGTTGACAGGAGTAAGAATGACCGATACTCAGAAGAATTTGGGTTTTACTTTTAAATACAGTGGAGCAACTGTCTAGAAGCTTCCAGAACTTTGTAAGAGTACCATGCATGGTGACTGGATACTTAACTTCTCAACATTAAAGTGATGCAGAGTGAAACTAGTTCACATTTTACTGTTGACATTTTTAGGCTTAAAGCAAAATGTGCTACTGATGCTTGGTTCTTTTCTGTGGGCCACAGTATGGAATGGGGTGCATGGAGTGTTAGGGGAGGGTTAGTATTGTTGGTGGGGAACACATTGCTCTTCTTCTAGGGTGGTTTGTCCACCTTTAGCCCCCTCCCTGCACTCAGTTGTCACCTGTAGCTCCTAGAATGGCTTCGACTGGGTGGCTAAACCAGGTGAGGGTAGCCAATGGGTTTTAAACCCTTGGTAAGTTAGGGACTTCCCCTGCATGTGAAGAATGGCTCCAGCGGATTGAGTAGATAAGACCAATAGTGGGTCCAACAGTCAAGAAGGAGGTTTCTGAATGTGCAGTAGAAGGAAGTAAGGGGCAGATGGGGCTCATCAACCTGGGAAGATAGTGCATCCAAAACTCAGATCCTAGACTTTCACTGCCTTGCGGGACATCTTCAGGAGAAGAAAGACTAAGGAGTAAACCCTACATAAATCCAGAGTGGAGTCCCTAAGATGGTTGGATGGCATCTTGTACTCCTTCTTCCAGCAACTCCTGCAGCCAAGCTGGTGCCAAATGTATTGCTCTGCTTTCCTTTGGACCTCATCAGCGAATCTTGTCATCTAAGCAGCCCAGGGCCTCCATACACACTGCCCAGGTTTGTTTGTGCCCCAGGGAGGTCACTTCGGTGCTCCTAACACAGAGGTTTGACTTCACCCCCAGAGATGCGTGGTCTCTCAAGACAGACGAATTCCAACAACAATACGGAGTGGCAGGATGGGATAGGAATAATATAAAGAAGTTCTGGAATGGAAGAAAGGGATGATTTATGATACTTTTATTTGACAGAGCATTTTAGGCACACCTTTATCTATGCTTCCCTGCCTCATTTCAACTTGTCATTAATATCACTCAGCTGATGTCACTTTTGTGCCACAAGCAGTTGCTTTAACATACATATGCAGGCATTTGTGTGTATATATATATATATATATATATATATATATTTGCACACACACACACACACACACACATACTAAAAGATTCATATTGCAACCAAATGGCTGTGAAAACGTTATCATGATCTTAACGGCTGAAATCTAGTGGACATATTTTGTAAGCCTGGGTGCTTACAGCAAAGACATAAGAAAACAGGAGGAAATCTCACCCTCTGGCTACAAAGCTAGAGAGCAGACAGCCTATTTGTCAATGCTTAATGTTGTTCTGACCCAGGCAAAACTGTGGATTTCATTCCATTTATATTCAGAAAAACAGGGCTGCTGTTTAATGATCCTCCCTATGGTCACACATTTGGGGATGTGGTAGATAAGGCATGAGCGGAACTTTCTAGAAAACTCAAGGAATAAGAAAATATTGGCTCCCTTCTCTTTCCTGATGGACTTGGCTGCTCTGAACAGAATGGGCCTTATTTTATGGACTGTTGTGTATTTTATGGGAATACATATAATTCTTGTTGGGTCTTTGGGGATCATTGGGGTAGCTAGCTATACCCTGAGACATGGATAAAAAAGCAGTAGAACACCATTGTGAAAGTTTAGCAGGGGGCAAGCAGACAAAGACTATAGCCAAAGGTAACTAGCCTGGAGCTGGATAGATCAAGGTGGAACTCGATGTGGCTCATAACTACCAGAAGCCATGTAGTTTTTTTAAGTTTCACGTAGGGGTTTAGTATGTTTGATGTTTTCTTTCTTACTGAGCAACCAAACCATGATCCGATTTCTAATTCCTGTGACCACTGCTTCTGTTCATTGGCAAAGGATGTGAGGTGGAGGCTGGCTACATTGGAGCCAGATAGAAAGTTCCACAATGGTATGGACATGATTTCATTTCACATCAGAAAGTAAGCTTGCAATCATAAAATACTTGCTTCCTAATAAGTCCCGTTGGGACTTCCCCCAAGCCTTTAGGATATGCTTATAAATGGAGTAAGAGACAGGTTTATATATTGAATAGCTTATAAATGGATTTTTTCAAAAGCCTTGATGACCTAACTCAACTCAAGGATATCGGGAGTCAGTTGTTTGCTTGGGAGTCAAGCTTTTTATTTGCAAATTCATTTATATTGGCCTCACTTCCATCATCTTGTAACCCCTTGTAGCCAAATGTGCTTAGTTATGTAACATAGTACCGTGCTGTTGTGTTTACAGTTTGAAGATCCATAACTGGGTGGGATTACGCATGCCACTAATTCAGAAAGGTGAAAACAGTTGATCAGGGGCCACCAAGGCGAGCAAACATGCTGAGAAAGGTGAACTGTGTATTTGCTCAGCAGTAAGCTCTATTGAATGCATTTATTTATCATCATTATGTAAATGTATTCATAGCTTTTCGCAAGAGTCTTAAGAGTGACTTAAAAAGATGTAAAATTCAAGAATGCCAGGAAAATAAAAAAACAGACATACTATGAGTGTTCATCCATGAACAACACAACATAGAATAGATGTGCGTGTATAGCTATAGATAATTGATATACAGTGGTACCTCGGGTTACAGACGCTTCAGGTTACAGACTCCGCTAACCCAAAAATAGTACCTCGGGTTAAGAACTTTGCTTCAGGATGAGAACAGAAATCGCGCGGCGGCGGGAGGCCCCATTAGCTAAAGTGGTACCTCAGGTTAAGAACAGTTTCAGGTTAAGAACAGACCTCCAGAACGAATTAAGTTCTTAACCTAAGGTACCACTGTATGCACATTTCCCCACCCTACCGAAAGATGGAACACCAGGCTAAAAAATCACATTAAAAAAAACAAACAGCCTGGAAGAACAAGAATGTCTTTGCCTGGTGTTAAAAAGCTGATAATGTCAGCACCAGGCAGGTCTCCTTGGGGAGAACCTACCACAATTAGGGGCCACCACTGAAAAAGCCCAAGCTGTCATGGCCATCATCCATACCTGCCTTGGAGGGGGCCTTCAGATTCTGTTTGGTTCCATTCCACTCTATTTTGTTCTGTTCTGTTCTGTTCTGTGGATACATGTGTGCCTGAGGGTGGCACATTGGCAACCCCTGACGTAAGACTATGGCTTCCACTCCCCTGGAAGAATGAGTTCTTCCAGGTTGATTTGGCAGTCAGTCAAGCCTGTTACGCGGGTGGCGCTGTGGGTTAAACCACAGAGCCTAGGACTTGCTGATCAGAAGGTTGGCGGTTCGAATCCCCGCCACAGGGTGAGCTCCCGTTGCTCGGTCCCAGCTCCTGCCCACCTAGCAGTTTGAAAACACATCAAAGTGCAAGTAGATACCTTCCGGCAGGAAGGTAAATGGCGTTTCTGTGTGCTGCTCTGGTTCGCCAGAAGCGGCTTAGTCATGCTGGCCACATGACCTGGAAGCTGTACGGCGGCTCCCTCGGCCAATAAAGCAAGATGAGCGCCGCAACCCCAGAGTTGGCCACGACTGGACCTAATGGTCAAGGGTCCCTTTACCTTTTCCAAGCTTGTTACTAACCAGGCCATTTCCCCATTCCAAGTACACACACACATCCAGTTTAGAAGCCCAGCACCCTCATTTTTAAAAATGTGTATGTAATTCCTCTTAGCAGTAGTCTGCAAAGTAAAAATTATACATGGAAACAGCAGAGTTTTCTGCCTTTGTTATTATTACGGGACTGATACGTGGCTTTTAGCATCAAAGCAAAAGCATATCAACTGAAAGCCAGGAAAGTGGCTACAAAGCTTTCCTTTAGCAAAGCATCCCAAATTGTTGTGCCCAGCATGAGCTCTCTCTCTCTCTCAATTTCCCCCCAGTCACATGAGCATACAAACACAAGACACTTCAGTTTCTCCTCGAACCATTAATTTGTCCCAACTCCCACACAGTGCTTTTGCAAGTGGGAATGATGATTTATAGTTTGTTTCCTATTAATCTTTAAAATAACTTAAAATCCCTCCTATAAATCATGGCTTAGCCCACTTCATTACCTCTGGATTATCTTTTAATATTTCAGATGGAAACCAAGGCTGCAGGATGTTTCCCCTACTTACCTTAATTCCATTTAACTCTGAAGAGGGCATTGTTTTCCCACCAATGAAGGCTGAAAAACAAACCCAAGAATTCAGAAAGAAAGAACTCTTTTTGGGGGAGGAGGGAGGGGAACAGATATAACAGACTTGCATTCTGGAGCCATTTAACCATAGACACAGGAAATGAGCAAAATATATAAACAGGGGTAGGGAGCCATGAGTAGCTTGTATGAAACTGCCAAGAGGCGAGGAACATTCAACTACTGACCAGGTGCAGAGGTGTGGTAGATTGCGTGATAAAATATTATCTACATTGTTTAATACAAATCTCAGTAATACCGACTCCCTAACACACCCCACTGAAAGCTCAATGGATTTAATAACTGTAGAACAAAAGGAGATAAAGGGGAAATGTTGGTTTGAACAGTAAGGCAGACAGGGAAACAGGTGGAGGGGAGGAATGAGCAGAAAATAGTCTAGGAGTATCTAATTGCCTCATAACTCCATATCTTCACATAAGCTGCCATAATGGCCTTCTGTGTACCCTACTGAGATAACAGAATGATGCCATTTCCAAAGGCATGTTTGTATAATAGGTGGCAAGAATTCACCCACACGTGGCCTTTTTTTGTACACACACACACACAAAAAAAAGCCTGTCAGCAGTTTAGAAGACTTCTTGCTTTGGGGCATAAGCTTTTCTGAATGAACCTCTTCAATGTCTCATCTGCATGATGATCCAGCATTGCCCCGGCCTTCCATAATTGGGGAGTTCTCACTTAACTTGGTTTCATTGAGCAGGTCTGATTGCCTTGGCTATGCATATAAGCTTGACAAGTAGCAATCCAGCAATCATAAAAACAGCCATAAAACCTCGGTTTTTATGTACCCTGTAAGGTTGAGTTTATTCACAGTGGCAAAATGAATTACAGAATGTCGCAGTGCTCAGCCATTAAATCTGGATATCTAATCAGTTGGGCCATCATGTAAATGAAAGACAAGTAAAAACAAAGGACATTTTTTAGCAGTGGAAAAAAGCAGGGTTGCAAGGGGGGGGGGCGGTTCCTGCTTAGGCGGGCAAATCCTGCAGTTCATTAGCAGAGAACTAATGATGCATGAAAATAAAGTTACTTTCATGGACACAAATTCAAGAACAAGTAGCTCTTACATGTCTACAGAATGAAGAATGAAGATATAGTGCTGAATATCTGTCCTTACCCTGGTTTGCCGGGTTAAGTTCTCTAACTGGGTGGCATCGTTCATGTGGCTATAATCCAGGGAGGAGAAAGCAGAGATCACAGAAAGCAAAGATGGCACAAAGATTTTAAAAAGTGGCTATTATAAGCACACACAACAGGTGGGTAGGGTCTGATCTAAGGAGGGTCACAACTGCATCATTCACAACCACCAATCTGATTGAAAAATTAGAAAGGGTCCCCAAATCCATGTTTGGATTAAAGGTAGTTCACAGGATTGGCTCTGAGAAGGTGAAGACTGACACCTAGAGAACAATGATGGGCAGCCATGTGGTGGGAGCCAACATTAACACAATTAAATGTTTCACAAGCAGAAAATAAAAAAATGCATGCATAACAGATAATAATGCAAGAAGGTGAGTCAGTTAGCAGGCCACATGTATATGCGTAACCTAATCTGATGTCCATCAGTCGCTTCACCTTCGCATTAAGCAGATGGAAGGCATTCTGGAAAATATAGGCCACTTTTCACTCTCAGAATGGACCTCCAAAGCAGCTCACGTTTAAAAAGAAACCAATTTAAATACAGTAAAACTAACAACAAAACACAAAGCAGCAAGGTTTCTATATAGACTTGTCCTTATACAACTGTTCTTCAACCTGCCCAGAGGAAATAAAAATTAGACAGAAGTTAAGGACTTAAGGATATGAAGGATATTATGTGAGAGTCAGTAAACATAGAGAATGGAAGAATAGAAAAACAGATTCCTTGCCAAAGCTCCCTGCTCTTTCAAGAGCATCCTTGAAATTCCACCTGAAATTGGATATGTGATCTAAGAGTCCACACATGGGCTGCTGCA